TATATATATCTATAATTTCATCCTTGTTGCTAAGATCTGTAATGGAATGAGAGGTGGGACGGAGGTGGCGGAAAACCTCGACTTGCAATTTACACTCACTCTTTTCTTCGAAAACACATGCGAGTTCCCCAAAATCAGTTTCAATGATTCTTTCCGACAGAGCGATGACGACAAACGGCTGTCATGATTCTTTAATGAAAGAAAATATCGGATGTCATGCTAATAATGCATGAATACTTGCCTGATATATGATAGTCAGAACAGATTAGAGAAGGATAAGTAATTCACTATTGTTGGAGACACTTTTCTTTTAAAATAGAGAATTTCGTAATAAAAGGCTAATCAACATATGTTTTCAAATGGAAGTAAAAGTATCTTGAGTTTTTATTCTGATTTGCAGCATTTTTGATCTTGATATATGTCCTTTAGTTTCTTTTCAAAATATTATTGAGTGCAGATGCCAGGACAACTGGAAAATAGCTCTCAGATATATCAAATCAAAATATTTCCATTTTAAGACAACTACTGATAATATCATGCATATTTTTTTTTATTAAGCAGTTGAGGAGATCTGTATTCGAATAGGCCTAACAGTACGAAGAAAAGTTAGCGTTGATGCATCAGTGTGTAAAAAAAAGAAGAAGAAAAAACAAAGATGGATGAATAGCAAGATGAAAGAAAGAAGAGAGAAAGAGAACGAAGAGATGAACAACAAAAGTAGAAGAAAGCGAGAAGAAACACAAAAAAGAAGCAAACATAAGTAAAAGTAGAAAAAAGAGAAACTATGTATATAAAAGAGAACCACCGTATCTAAACCAATGACGACTGGATAAACACCAGCAGAGGGTGTGGGTGTGGGTGTGGGTGTGAGTGGGTGTGGAGTGTGGGTATGAGTGAGTGTGGGGTGTGGATGTGGGTGTTAGAGCCCATCAGATCCGGGTCTGACGATTTTGTTTCGAGCGGGTCCGGGACCAAAACGTTTTGCACTCGATGGGCTCTACCCACAAAATATCAATCAATTAGGTCCGAATCCAACAATTTTGATCGGTCTGGTCCGGGTCCGTGTCCAAAAATTCGTGGATCCGATGGACTCTAATGGGTGTGGGTGTGGGTGCAAGTCTTGACTTCGTGTTGCCCACACCCACACCCCACACCCACACCCACACCCACACCCACACCCCACACCCACACCCACACCCACACCCACACCCACACCCACACCCACACCCATATGCGCACCCTCGGAGTCTATTTCTCTTCTTTCGAATCTTATGTAGCTTATTTTTTATAACGTCTTCATCAACGAAGGGGCAGAGCTGAAAAGAGAAGCACCTCTAAAAACAATCCGTATTTTTTGCGAAATCCAGAAAAAGCAGCGCAAAATGTAGCTCTCTATCATTCTTCGACAAACACATTTTGAAGCGAATTTATTTTTATCAGTTGATAGAAAATTCTCTTCTTTCGAACAGTATGATTCATATTCGTCACACATACACATTCGTAAATAAAATGATGCGGAAAAGTACTTGTGCATTGAATATATAATTTTATATGTACTCGTACAAAATATCTTGTTAGACGACAAGTGATCCTATCTTCATGAACTCATTAAAAAAGATCTTGTCAGACGGTGGTTACTGCGACTTTTATGAATTTGTTGAAAATAATAACTTCATTTCGCTAGTGTTTCTCTTTTTTCTCGTCTCGTTTCACTCACTAATACATGACACATACGAATCCTACACTGTTCGAAAGAGGAGAAAATTTCCTATCTATTGAAAAAAAAAATTCTTTTCAAAACCTATTGATTGAAGAGATATAAGGATCGACATATTGTGCCGTTCTGTTACAGAAAAGTGCAGATGTTATTAAGAGTACTTCTTCGATTTGAAAGAGGAAAAATTTCTGTCTTTTGGTAAAAAAAAGTTTTCTTTTAGTACCTTTCTATCGAAGAGAAATAGAGTCCGACATTCGTCTAATTACTTTTGCATCATATGTTACTTAAGATAGTTTATTAATTAAAAGTATAGTGGCATAAGTACTTTTTATTACTTTCAGAAGTAATAAAAAGCACTTTTTACTTATAAGTACTATTTTCACTTTTTGTGTAATAGAGAAGAAAGTACTTTAAGACCTCTCCCCTTCCGAAAAGTCGTTTTTCGTCAAGAAAATGATTTTTGAAAAAACTATACAGGAATGTCGCCAAAAGTCTCTACTTTAAATATTTGTAAACATAAATTTCAACTTTGAAAGGTTTCAAAGAGAACTAATAAAAGTTTCTGAAATACTCTATGGTAATATTCTTAGGCGAAATTTAGATAAAAACCGACGAAAATCATGGATATCGCTGATCTCTACTAGTTGCATGTGGCACTAGAAGTATAGGCCTATGTATCTTGATTAGTTAGCGATTGATATACGATATCGCCATATAGCATGTTAATGTCCAGTGATAGGTCGATAAAATGCAGGAAAAAAGTTTTTGCGTTTTCCTCAAAACCGGTTTTTATGTCAACGGTGAATCTTCGCGCAAATTTGTCTTTCAATACACTTTGTTCTAGACAATTACGATTTTTTTCCTGATTAGAGCATTCGATTTTCCTTCGGATGATGGGAAGGGATTTTTTAATTATACTCTATTCCTGTAGAAAACCCCATCTCTCTGAAAATCCTATGATAGTTTTTCCAGATCTTAGAGGTTTTGACGTTCTCCAAAAATAAACAGAGCAACAATAAAAAATCCCTTCCCTTCATCCGAAGGGGTAAACAAGTCTCTTTCAAATAAAACAAACCCGAGTCCTCTACCCTGAAGTATAGTGAAAAAACTTTTATGGATCGAGGGTACCTTTCGGACCCTGATTTCCAGAAAACTTCTGAACGTTGCGGTTTAGAGAAGTTAAAAAAAATGTTGTAAGTTTTATTCTATGGGCTCAATATTTGTGTAAAGTTTCAGAGAGATGCCGTGCACTGTAACGAAATTCAATGTTGGAGGTGGGAGGCGGCCTTAATAGTAGCTTTTTTTGGATAAAATTTTTCTATGAGTTCATTTTTTACTGCCAGTGGCAAGGAAACAAGTATATTTATATGAAGTACTAGCCTAGGATTGAGGAAATGCCCGTTGTTATTACCACATACCATTGTCGGCAAACAACTCGCAGATTGAATAAATCGGATAGATTATTCACGTATCGGAAGGGATGTTCGATCGCTTCAAATGTAAGTTTGTCCATCATTTTTCGTTTTCACTGAGTGATAAGACATCACGCTGGGTTAGTTTACGACGGACACAATATGTAAAAATGCTGCATCTCGAATGATGAAGACGGAGAGAACAAAAAGGCTGTCATGTCAAAATACGTGAGTACGTAACAGAGACCGGAACAAGCAAGAAAAAGCCGATTCGATTCGATTCATACCGAAAAAAAGAGAATTCCTTCTTTGTCATAAGTAAAATGCATGTGCATCCGACATAAAATTTTACTGAAGTTTTCGTATGTCTCTATGTTAAATTTATCGATTTAGAGAAATTTGGAAGCTTCAAAGAGGAGTTGCAGTACTTATTAGAACTCGGGTTTTGTAAAAATAAATGTTGTTTTCTTATCGATCAGCGACGATAGTAGTTTCTGAATTTGAATAATTAATGTAGATATTAGGAAAATGAGTATACAAACTTTTAACGTCAGTTGAAATCTATCTCAATTCCAAAATCTGCATTGCAGTTAGTAATCCCTAAACTTGGTTGGATCAATCCCATAACTTTTGAATTAAAAAACCGCGATATTAAGTTTTTCAAAGTCAGTTGTCATATTAATTAGCGAATCAGAATATGTAGCAGAGTAATAAATTGTTAAATCTACAATTACTTATAACTGTGTTGCCGATCATGTACTCGAAGAAGGAAACATCCATCATTAGAGATCTGCAAGTGACTCTGAACTCCAATTCCGACTCCGACTCCGACCGAGTTGGAGTTGGAATCAGAGTCAAAAAAGTATGACTTCGCAGGTCCCTACCCGTCATACCAATAATAGAACTGTATTCATGTGTCGACTAAAAGGGTGCGCGAAACATCGACTGCTCTAAATACTGCATAAAATTAAAAAGGTTCCTACTAAGTATATGGAAAGAGAAGTAGTCATGAAAACACCTACACATAGATTTGCTTCCTCTAAAATTATCTATCTTAAAATAAATCAATGGAAATCGACTTTTTTAAAATAAAATACAAACAATAGTTGACCTAGTAGAGTTCTTCAAAAGTCTTAATTCGATTCGGTTTCGGTCTTTGGTAAGCGTTGATTGACTTTCCTCAATAATACGAATTTCACTTGATAAACAATGATTCACGCGTTGACAACTGATTTTACAATTGCATACCGACATAGTTCGATGATTCATTTTTATCCGCTGCTCATATTGATATAAAATGTTGTTTTGTTTACATTTTACTATTGTATCAAGAGACATGCCCACGTACTCTGAATTTTTGCATTATGATTAATCATGTGATGATGCCATTAAAAGCTGTCGACAAGTATAACTGCTTGTTCTTCACTCTTCTCGTTCACTCGTCCGCCATTATGTTTAAATCACACTACTCGTTTCTGTTGTTTATTCTTTTTTTCCTCTTTTTTTTCTGTGGGTATATTGAATCAGTGCTCAGCATTTTTTTTAATGGAGAAGAAAAGAATGAAAAAACATCAACGACAGATGTGGCAATATCAGTCGAGCACAATAAACAACAGTAGTAGGAGAACAGGACAGAGAAGCATCGCAATACTCAATTCAGCACATACACACATTGCAGTGAGATTGTTTTTTTCTTCAATGAAAATGTCCATAGAATGCAGAAAACCTTACTCATATGAATAGTGAGTCCGCTGATATGTCTAATTATATTCTACAGAAATTCGTTGATCATGAATTCTTATTTTCTCTATTAGGTACTATTCAAAGTTGGAATTTATCCATCACAATTACCGTTGTTTGCCCATCAATAAATGTGTGGGCCGTGGCGCAAACTTACTTTTCGTGAAAAAGTATTATCAATTGTTACAAATGAAATAACATGGGGTATATTTGTTATTCTCGCTTGTGCCATTGCTCTGATCATTGTATGGGCAGTAAATAGTCCAGTCCAATGGCAAATATACAAAGATCCTGTTCATGAACAAGCACTCATGAGTATTATTGGTGGCATTTTTGCTATTGTCTCAACATTAATGAGTCTGACTCAGATTATTCAACATTTTGCTCACAGAACTCATAGAGCTTCTCAAAAGCGAGTCATGCGAATATTGGGTATGGTACCTGTATATGCTATGACCTCTTTGGCTATCTCTACTATTTTTCCAAGCAGCTATTTATGTGGAATTTATTCAAAGTTGTTATGAAGCCTATGTTGTTTATTGTTTTCTTCTTTTACTAACAAAATATCTTGGTGGTCATCAAGGCGTAGAAGAGGCAATCTTAAGCAAAGAAAGTATTCATATGGTATGCCCATTTGGATGTTGTTGTAAACCAGCACCAAATGCAAAATGGGTATGGTATTTTAAAATCGGTCTTCTACAATATTCATGGATTACACCCGTATGTTCAGGTATAGCCGTTGTTTTGAATTTTGCAAATATCTATAATAATGGTGTATGGCAATTTAATCGAGGCTATCCATATATTACAATTATTATTAATATAAGTCAAACATTAGCTCTTTACACTTTAGTAACATTCTACAGCAATATGAAAGATGAATTAAAAAAATTTCAACCACTAGCAAAATTTATTACAATAAAACTTCTTGTGTTTTTCATCTTTTGGTAATCAGTTCTAATGAGTGGTCTTGCAGCCATAGGCATACTTCGAAATACTCTATGTGATCCGCTAGTCAATGCCTATTGCCATGGTTCAGTAACAGGATTTACAGTTGAGCAAGAAAAAATTTTATTAGAAAATGTATTGATTTGTGTTGAAATGTTCTTTTTTTCAATCGCTCATCATTGGATTTTCAGCTGGAAACCGTATGCAACTAGAGAGTACACAGACCTCATCGAATTTCGATATCGTCAAATGGCGAATAACAACAATTACATTAATGCACAGATGTTTACAACATATTTTTAAGTCTTATCACTTAAATGTAATTTTTGTAAGGCGTACCGAAGACAAAAATATAGTAAAAAAATATTTCTGGCTGTAATATAGCGGGTGGCCTATGAATGATTGCACTGTTAATGTTTTTAAAATTTCTCCTTTCCCTTGAAATTAATTGAGCTGACTTTTTTTACCAAAATATTTTTCGTTGAATTCTCCACAAAAAAATGCATTCACTGTTTCATTGCAGAATTCAAAGATGCAACATATGATCATAAATTATGAGAAGTACGAAAATGTATGAGAAAATTGATTAAGTTTTTCAAATATTTTTTCGAATGGTTTCACAAGCATTAGAAAGCGGCTCCAGGATATTTTATGCAGTTTCAAATGCGCTCTATCTTATCATGTAGAGCAAAAGTCATATGAATCTAAATATTCGACGCAAAGATTAGCTTCACAGCAATCAAGAGAAAAATAACAACAATTTTGTTTTTGCGCGGTTGAACAAAATAAAAGTTGTTTTTCAAACCTTAGATATTCGAAAATAAT